GCTGCTCTATCCACTGCTTCACCTAGCTACCACTCATCTGAGAGTCTGTGAAGTTTCATAGTTTGGGCAGCAAAAATTCCTTTTGATGAGCACTAAGTAGATCACAACAATATTCCTCCTCTCCTGCTCAAAATTAGTGTCAACTGAGGAGCTGGAAAAAACCCAGAGACTTTTCCATAGCCAAAATTTATGTAGAACTTTTCTCCAAATGCCTGCACACTCTGATTCTGACACCTTCAATTTTCAACAACAATGACAAGCGGGGCAGGGATTAGTCCCTTTCCCAGAGTCACAAAGCAGGATAGACAGAGAGCCAGGATTAGAAATCACAATCCTGGCGATCCTAAGCTATTACATAACCACTGAGACAGCCTGGTTCTCTAAAAATAATACCTTCATGTTTACAAAGTAGCCAGTCTCTACAACAGCCCTGCGGTAGGTAGAACAAAGTAGTATCATCTCTAGTCTTTGTAGCTGGAGAAACTGAAGCTCAGCAAAGTTAAGTGATCTGTCCAAAGATACATGGTTCACAAATGGTAAACCTGGGTCGAGAACTCAGGTGTCTTGACCTCTAGTTCAGTGGCTTTTACGATTCACCATATTGTTGTAGTAGAAAAAAAAAAAAACCAAACCATTCTCAAAGCGTTGGAAAGCATCCAGAAGTAGCCAGAGCATATTATAATTTTTATCACTTGGCCATATTTGAAGAGAAACTGTACAGGAATGAACTACGGGATCATAGAGAGAAAGTTGGAAGGAACCTTTGGAGGCAATCTAGTCCATACTTTTAATTTTACATATGAGGAAACTGAGGCCCAGAAAGTGGTCCTTCAGTGACTTATCCAAGGTCACACAGCTGAGAAGTGGCAGAGCTAGGATTTGAACCCAGGTCTTTTGATTCCAAATCCGCCTATTTCCTACTGTTCCACATTGCCTCTACAATGGCCAAGGTGGAATGAAATCTGGGTTCTCCTTCCTGCATTTCCCACTAACTCGCTTTGTTATCTTGGGCAAATTATTTTGCCATAGAATCAATGTTAAATAGTACCCCTTAGTGGCCATTTAGGCCAACCTCATACATGAAAAGATGTGGTTCAGTATCTACATACATACATCTCTATACATGTATATTACCTAGGTATCTACAACTGAACCCACGCTGCCTCTATCTGATGAACTCACTTAATGACACATAAATTAAAAAAAACAAAACATAACACCTTTAAACTATTTCCTGCTCTGCCCATGCCTAGGGCAGGGGTTTGGGGGACAAAGATGGATATAAGGGAAATTAAAGTCTAGTATACACTATGTATGCAACAAAGTACATCTTTTTCACCTGGAACTCAGTGAATCAATTCGTCTTGCTGGAAGCCCACCATAAATCTGGCATCCTCTTAGGTTAAGTACTTTAGGACTTTCAAGGCAAAAGAAAAGAGAATGTGTAACTCCCAGATAAAACACATGGAAAAGGAGAAAAGAGTAGAATTAACCATGACAGCTTGACTGCTGGCCCTTTCCTGGACAATTTCTCGAGATGTCCAAGGATGACCTCAGGAGCTCTGATACAGTCTCCCATACTATGCCGACATAGAAAAAAAGCTCATGTTCCCTTTTTAAACTATTCCAAATGAATTTTTGAATGACCTAGGAAAGCACAAGCTCATCAAACTGACACACACAAGTTGAAAATAATGTCCAGAATAAATCTCTTCATAAACTAGGAAAAAAAGAAAAAGAGGAGGTGGTACTGAAAGTTGGTTCACTGGCAGAGATGCACATTATATTAAAAATGGCCAACTGGGAAAAATCACAACATGTTATAGAAGAAAAGAAGGATATTTTCTATTTTCTGCATGGGGAAGGGAAATGGGTTTGGAAATCTGGAAGATGCAAAAACACATCCCCAAAATATTTTCATATGGTAAGCATTTTCCTTCTGAGATAGATGATAATGTTTCCTTCCTTTTGGCACTGAAAGTCTTTAAATCCGGGCTGAAGCTTATATTTTAAAAAGCCATTAGGCTCATCACTGATTTTGCTATGCAACCTAAAAACCATGCAAAGTGCATCCGGGCCCCTGAAAAAATCCATGTGCTGTCAGATTACTGTAAGATGGAGAACGCAAACAAATTTTGATCTGATGTCAACTAACAGTAGATTTTTTTCAAAGTGATACTTAAAAGTAAAACTCTACATGGTGTCAAGCCATGTAAATTCAGAAAATGAAAGAAAGAATCCTATGCTATTAATAAGGGAGAAAAACACTTCCTGCAGAAAGAATAAAATAAAATAAAATATGGCCCACAACCTGGGCCATTTTACAAATATGCTTTCCCTTTAAGAGAACCCCAAATATGAAAATTCTGACTTAAAAAGCTGATAAAAGTAGGCATGTTTATTTCCACCTAAGTGTTTCCTCACAGACCATTAACTAGTTGACCAACAAGCTGGTTACAGGGCATAAAAATGTCAAGTAAAAATTGAGCTGCTACTGCTCTGGAAATGATAAGGTATGTCAACAGGAAAAATGGGATTTGTCTTAAAAAGTTCTTAACAATCAACTTTCTGTTGGACAAAGTAGAGTGCACCCATACTGTGTATATTTAAATAGAACCCTACACACATAACTCTACAAAAGGGTTGGGGTAGTTCAATCTTGCAGTTAATTTCAAAATCTATCCCCCTGACAAGTCTTTACAAGCTATTGTATTCTTATATTGCCTTCCTTGTGACTGGCTTCTGATGACTGTGATCTCTAGTAGCCCAAAAAGGAAAATTACCCATCATTTGAGTTACATTTAACTTCTGAATTAATATTCTTACGAGAGCCTAGTTAGGTTTGAGCTGGTCTGATTTCTTTCATGGTCTATTTCTATCATGGTCTACAGGGCTGTGTTAATTTGCATAGCTATTTTCATTTTCACTGAAATGTCTAAATTTAAGCCATAAACCAGCTTAAAATTGTTTTGCTTAGGAGAAAATTGTGATAGAGAGTTGGGATATGGATTTGAAAGAGGCAAAGATTTGAATAATAACAATATATATTTACACAATGCTTTATAGTCTGACAAAGGGCTTTAGCATACATTTGGGGGCAACGTAACATAATGAACTTGGAATTAGGGAGCTGGGGTTTGAATCCTGGTTCTTTTTACATTTAATAGCTGCATGACCACAGACAAGTTCATTCATTTCTCGTAGCTTCAGCCTCCTTATCTGTAAGATGGGGATAAACATATTCCTGTTACATATGTCCCAGGACTGCTAAGAGGAATGGCTTTACAAGCCTTGAAGGAGTGCATAAATGTGAACCCTGTGAGTTATTCTGTATCATCTCATTTGAGAGGAGATCCCTTAATGTGTTAAACCAAGAGGTGGCAAAGCAGCAGGTTGTGTGTATAAGTGATCATCTGTTGAGTCTGACACCAAGCAGCTCAGGAAGAAGACTCATAATGCTGAGAAAGAGAGGAAAGCCTTCTCACATGCTAAGCTAGAGCACTGGTGAATGTGTCCTGGTCATCCTAAGCTCCTTGTCAACTGAGATGGTAGGATAGACTTCATGGAAGGTCAAGATTTAAGCCTTCCATCTACCCATCTGTGTCCTCCTTGGCAACCCGGATGGGACAGCTTCTCCCAAACTGCCAACCTGCCCATAGGGCAAAGAGGAGGGTGACTTGAGGTTATGCTGATAATGCTCGGATCTACTTATCCAGCCTTAGCCTCTCCTAACCTCTAGAATTATATCTTCCATTGCCTAAAGGACATCTGGAACTGGATATCCTGTAGCTATCTTACACTTAACATGTCCAAAACTGAACTCAATATCTTTCCCCCAAGCCTTCCCCTCTTCCTAATTTTCCTATTACTATCGAGAAAACCACCATCCTCCCAGTTATCTAGGCTGGCAACCTTGACATCATCCTGAACTCATCACTATCTCTCACCCCCATAGCCAATCATTTGCCAAGTTTACTCTACTTTCTAACATCTCTCATATATGCCCCTTCTCTCTTCTCATACTGCCACCCACCCTCACCAACTCACATTTGGATTATGAAGATAGTCAGCTGGTTGGTCTTCAGGTCTCAACACTCTCCCCACTGCAGTTCATCCTCTGCTCGGCGGTCAAAGTGATCTCAAATCACAAGTCTGAAATTAGGTGTCCTCCCCCTATGCAATAAACTCCATTTGCTCTCTGGATCAAATACAAAATCCCATGGTTTTCGAAGCCCTCTCCCACCTTTCTAGTCTTTTTACAACTTACTCTTCTGCATGTACTCTGTAATCCAGTGACATTGGCTGCCTAGCTGTTCCTTGCACCAGGAAGTCCATCCTGTCTCCCAATTCCTGGAATGCTTTCCCTCCTCATTTCTGTCCCCTTGGCTTCCTTCAAGCCCCAGCTTGAATACTACAAGAAGCCTTTCCTGATACCTCTTGACACTAGTGCCTCTATGATTATCCTCAGTTTCCTATAGATCTTGTACCCTCATCATCCTGTAGATATGTTTTTGCTACATAGCTGTTTATATGTTGTCTCTCACATTAGATGGTGAGCTCCTTGAGAGCAGGGACTATTTTTGCCTTTCTTTGTGCCTGGTGCATGATAAATGCTTCTTGACTTAAGTTCCCTGTGTCTAAGGGTAACCTTGATCCAGAACTCCTAGGACAATGCAAATACTCAGTTATCTACAGGAATGGGATGCAGGAGGAGATGTGGAGTGAACTGAAGTGTTAATGTATCTGTGTTTCTTAGTTTGCTGAAGGTGAAGGTTTCCCTCAGTGAAATAGTTCTCTTGTATAATTAAAACTGGAAATACTATTTCTCAATAAAAAGCCAATTAGCCTCTGAAATGCTGCCATTACTGGAAGTCCATAACTTTCCCCACATTCTGCTGGGTTTAAAAAACGTATTTCTTAAAGCTGTATAAACTAATTGAAAAACACGGACAAATTAAAGAAGTGCAAATGTTTATGTGCAGCTGGTGTTTCAAGCTTACCATGACATGTCCAGGTAGGCATTGAGAGCTTTCCGAATAACATGACCCAAATAGCCATTCTTTTCTGCAACATGTTTTGCCCAACTGTAAAAGACAAAGGGATAGCAAATATCAAAACCACTGCAAATTAAATTAGGTGGAAATAATTATCCTTTTTTTTTTTTTTTGCATATGAGCTCTACAAATCCCATTTGGGGAATATTTTGCTTGTTAGAATTTTTATATAGCAACAAATCACAACTGAATGTCAAGAAGAAAATGATGATCCATTTTTTAGAGCTTTGTAGTGACTGTTCTTTCTCATAAATGCTTACAAATGAAATGGTAGAGGACAGGTACAGATGGTCAATTCTCAATTATTTATGCTAAAGAAGGACAAGTATAGCATGCAGAAATCAATAAGGTGAATTTTTACTTTTCATAAACATCATTTACCTATGAAATGCATATCACTACCCATTTTCATTACTACATATGAAAATGCCCCTGTAAAGTTGGCAATGTCTTTGTTCATGTTTCTGAACAAAAGTAATTTGGAGAGGTGCTTAAATTTACCTTGCATATTGACTTCCCTTCCAATAAATGAAATTTGTAATATAATCTAAAAACCTCATTTTCACCTGCTATTCCAATCACCTCTTTGTTAAAATGTGCTTTCTTTTTAAGATCTAGCTAAGTTTTATTTTCTTTGACTGGAATAAAAGGGCCAGCTAACTCATAAACTGGGTAGTCAGTTACCAGATAGTTAAGAGTTGATGAATTCCAAATAAGGTAAGCTTTGGTGTAATAGTGATTTCCAAAGGAGAAATGTAAAGAATTCCCAAGACATTATTTCCCAAAACATGTTTCTCCATTCCCTCAGTTGCTGTTGCTATGATAAATGTTTCTTCCATATATAACTTTTCATGGTTTCTTACACAACAGCTTTCTCAGGGTCTCTAGGAAAAGTCTCCAAATTGCCTGTCATATAGTATAGGGAACACCACAAGGTTCCTTCGATGTGTCCTCCTTGTGCAGCCTTATGGAAATATTCACCAGCTAATGTCTGTAAAGAAACAGATAAAGATGTCAGCCTGCCTAATAAAGAGGTGTCTCGTCCACATTCTTCTTCCCTCTCTGCCGAGCCGACCTCCGAAGTGCCAAGATAGCGAGGTACCTTAAGACTGATTTTATCACAGACTCATAACTTCAAATACCCTAAAGGAAACAAAGACAGGACAAGCAGTTCTAGAAGACACAAGCCCTGGGAAGAAAGGTTTCTGTCTGATATGTGACAACTTACTACAGCTAATCAGGGATCAAGCTAGCCAGCAAACAAGCCTGTTCATCACACACAAAGCACACTAACAGTCACTTCAGGTGAAAATCCACTCAGTTGATTTTTTTCTAATCCCTCCCTCCAAACACATACACATAATTTTAATTTATTTTAAGAGAGATGAGAACTAGAATATAATTAGCGATATAAGTGTCATGTATTTAGATGTGTAGGAGGGTTATTAAGCATGCATAATGAACAAAAATACATACAGGGCATCCCAAAAGTCTTAGCACAGTTTCAAGCTATTAAAGCTTAAAACTTATTTAAACTATTAAAGCTTAAAATTTAAATTAATTAATTTAATTAAATTAATTTAAAGCACTAAGATTTTTGGGACAATCTATATATATTTTTGTTCATTATGCATGCTTAATAACCCTCCTACAAATCTAAATACTCTACGAGTACCTTCTTTTCTGTATCATCACTTAGAATCTGTACCACCCAATATAGTTCTTAATTAACTACTGTCACATACTGTTCCAAGTTATTTCACCTTAGTCTTACTGTTCCAGTTAGACTAAAGCCTTTGGGGCAAGGACCATGTGTCTAACCATCTAAACCTTCTCAGGTGCCTACAGCACTCAGAAGACACTGAGCACTCAGAAGACACTCAACAAATATTTGCTTCTACTTTGAATTCATGGCCATGACAAAGTTCTTCTCTCTCTAGACTAACTTGTGTGCTTCCCTTTTTTCACGATAATAAAAAATATGTAGCTGAAATTGTATCCACTCATGCCTGAGCTGCCAGGAAGTTTAGAACAAAATTAAGGGCTCAGCTTTCAAAAACTAACTCAGTGTAGGTACCTGGCTATACCTACTTCACCGGTTCTTTTCATTGGTTTTGGTTTGGGTTTTTAGTTGTCCTTTTCCCATATGTCTTTTATAGATTTCCCCAAGCTCACTGGGGAAGTAGATGGGTTAAAAGAAAAAGCTTTCAGTAGTGGTTCCATGAAGTCTTACTCACTTGGTTCCTTCCAGTAACTCCTGGGAAAATGCCATCTAGATAGAGAACTCCAAGATTGTACGAGGCATCTGGGTTCCCCATTTCTTCTGCTTTTAGCCAGTATTTTGCTGCTTTGACATAGTTTTTCCTAAATTTGTGGTAATACCATCCTAGGCCATTCACTGCCTGATGTAACCCCTGCATTTTGAAATAACAACAACAAAATAGAAATTATTTTCCCTAAGAAACAAAGTTAAAATAGTAATAGAGCATAGGAGTAACCTACACAAATCTAATCCCTATGGAAACTTCTGTTACTTTTTTTTTTAGGGGCAGATGGGTTATTTAAATAGACCTTAGAATTACTCATCAAGGCATCCTCAACATCTCTATCCATGTAGGCTTTTATGAAGCAGCTGCAATGATTTCTGTCTATCATCTTAATAACGATGCTAAGGTCAAATTTATCACTCACTTTCTGTACTCGAATAATGCTTAGTTTCTTAGAAGGGCAACATTCTACTATATGCAGGGCAGACTAGCATAGATATGCGAAAGGAACAGGACTTTCTGAACAACCATGGAAATATGTGAGGCATATGGGACCTTGATGTTTGAACTCTGCCCTAGCTCAAGGAGGTTTCCAATTGATCCGTTTGATGATCTATTGGGTTACTCTGCTATAAACAATGAAATCACCACAGCAGGGAATTGCCACAACTTCCTAGTTGCAAGTAAAGGCCATCTGTGACTACTGAGCCTTCCCAGCTTTGACAGCTAGTTTAAAGCCTCAGCAGGGATTGAGCATCTAAGAGAAGAAGGGAAGCTGTAGGAAGGTAAGAGGAGGTTTTCCCAAAAAGTGCCCGAACCTGAAAAGGGCCAACTTTAGAGAGTGCACTGGAGATAGGTACTAACTAGGGTGCCCATATAAAGCCTGACTTGCAATGAATCCTCCTGTTCTTTTTGGATTAAATCCCTTTGTGCGTTTCATTTCCTTGCTCTTTCTTGCATCCCTTACTCTCTTCAATAGATCCTCTTCCAGTCTCTCTAAAAAAAAACCATGTTTGATATTAGAACTATTGATCTAAAAGAATTCTAGGAGGATTTCTACTAAAATGACTTCTAGCTTTTTTTGTGTGTGTCATGGACCCATTGGGCAATCTGGTGAAGTTTGTGGCCCCCTCCTCAGAAAAATATTTTTAAATGCACAAAACAAAATATGTAAGAATACAAAGGAAGCCAGTTATGTTGAAACACAGTTCTTGAAATATTTTTTTCAAAATGTCACCTGGTGCTAAAAGGACTCAGGACCAACAGGAAGTCAAAGCTCTTCAACAGTGTCTCTTTGCATGCTATTCCCCAGTGAAAAAGAGACTCTGGGTAGAACTGTTTTTTTGTTTTGTTTTTGTATTATCCAGCACCAGCATAGCACCTTGCCCAGAGCAGGCACATCATAAATGCTTGTTATTGGATTGGCTTAAATGATGTAGTAGAAAGAAATGAACCTGGTTTTAGCATACCAGGGTCCAAAGTCCTAGTTCTGCCACTTACCAGCTATGTAACTTTAGGCAAATCATTTAAAATTGTTTGAGCCTTGGTTTACTCCCCTGTAAAAATGGAAACAACAGTCCTTGCAAGGTCTACCTACAGATAAGAGGTTAGACTAGATGATTACTCATGACCTTCCAACTCTAAGACTCTAGGATTCTTTGTGATATGAGTCTGTCCACTATAAAGTGCTATATAAATATACATTATTATTGATATTGTTGTTGATCTATAGATAGGCTAGGTAGACTATCAAAATAAAATGGACATGAGGGAGCCAAGATGGTGGAGTAGAGGTAGCCACCTAGACAAATTCCCCGAACATTCCCTCCCAAACAGCTTTAAAATAATGTGTCAAATCGATTTCAGGAGCAGCATAATTAACAAAAGGTTATGATAAGACATTTTTTTTTTTCCAGCCCAAAAACAACTTAGGACGTTGGTTAAGAGAGGTCTGTGACATGGGGAGGGGGAAGGAAGGGCCCAGCCTGGAGTACATGTAGTGGCAACATCAGTGGGGGGCCTCAGAAGAGGCTGCAATAGCAGCCACTGAAGCTTCAGGAGTTCTCAGCCCAGGTAAGAGGACTGAACAACTGGTGAGAAAGAGATTACAAGGACCCTGAGCAGATATTGGGCACAGGACTGGGTGCTCTTTGGTAACAGCAGCCCTGTTTACAGTTAACGCAGACCGAAGTGAGCAGAACCAGGTGATCATGGTACACATGTAATGATGATCAACTATGAAAGACTTAGCTACTCTGATCAATACAATGAAGGAAGATAATTCTGAAGGACTCATGATGAAAAATGCTATCTACCTCCAGAGAGAAAACTGATGAATTCTGAGTACAAATTGAAGTATAATTTTTTCATTCTATTTTTCTTGCTTGTTTTTGCAGGATGGGGTGAGGGGGAGGGAAGAAATGGCTAATACAGAAATACGTTTTGCATAATTTCACATGTATAATTGATATCACATTGCTTGCCTTTTCAATAGGTGGGGGAAGAAGGCTAGAAGGAGAGAGAATTTGGAACTCAAAATTTTTAAAAGAGTATTAAAATAAATAAATAATAAAATTTTTAAAAATTCAGAAAATAGAGCAGACAAACATTCCTCATGAAAAATAGCACAGCAACCTTGGCTTTGCTTGACTCATTTTTAAAATAGCATAAGCATTGAATCAAGTCTCTCCAGGTTTCCCATTTATAAGTGATGAAAATAAGGCCATTAACTGATGCTCAAGGACATAGCAAAATGTATCAGACAATGCATTAGGAATCATAATCCCCAAATTTGCACAGTCTAAGAAGGATGACTTTTAAAAGGCAATAATTGTTATTTTGGGCATCAAATCATTGTAAAAGATTATTAATGAGACAAATGACCAGAAAATGAGATAAAATAGTCATGTATCAAGACAAAGTCATGTATCAAGACAGAGTGCCAACTAATGTGTTACATTAGTACTTTCAAAATGTTAAAGGAGCTAATAGAAAATCTAGGTATGGACTCTGATGGAAGGTTTATGGGAGAATCTACCTGATAAGAGTCCCACCCTGAGTATGTATAGATTGCTTACAATACGTCCCATCGGTGGGTATATCACCATTAGTGAGAACACAGATTCTTCGAAGAGCCGAAGTATTTATTCTTTCTGCTATAGTTCAGGGAAGCCAAGAGAAAACAAATGGTATGCAGGAGAAAGGAGTGGTCAACAGAGTCATAATGTTCAGAGAGGTCAAGGAAAATGAGGCTGAGAAAAAGTCATTAGATTTAGTGAGTAAGAGATCTATTCCATAGTAGGAAGTTGACTTCTTCAGAGGTAGAGCTCTAATTTCATCACTGCCAGAAGGTGGGCTTTCTATTTATGAATTTTTTTCAACTACCCTACATTAAGCAGAAGCAATGCCTACATAAATGAAATATTAGATTTCTTAAAGTGTTGTGTAATAATATAATTATATTGGTTTTTAAAATTTAAACAAACATAATCCTTTGCTTAAGTTTGATTTGGTTGCTTCATTGTAGTATGGCGATTTCCCTGGATTCTTGAATGCTAGTCCCTGAAATCCAAGACCTGATAGTTTCTTTCGAAGTACAACAAGCCTGATGAAAGACTTTATGTTTATCAGGGCAGGTAGGTGGCGCAGTTGATAGAGCACTGGCCTTGGAGTCAGGAGGACCTGAGTTCAAATCCCAGCTCAGACATTTGACACTTATTAGCTTTGTGACTCTGGGCAAGTCACTTAACCCCTCTTGCCTCACCAAAAAGCAAAAAAGAAAAAAAAGACAAAAAAAAAGACTTTATGTTTATCATTTGAAGACCAGCCTAGCTAAGATCGAAAATGTTCGTATTGAGGGTGATGAGGTTTTTGGCCATAGTAATGCTTGAAGACCATCTACTAAGCTGTGGACTTGGTGGAAGAAGTTAACGATATTGATAAAGTTACACATTCTTTAAGTATTGAGGTAAATAAACATATATAAGGGACTACTGGTCCCTCAGAAAGTACTGGGACAGACCTGTTTCTGAGTAGGCAGCAACTATCTCTCTGACTAAATATCCCTAAAGGCTTCCTTCCTAAAGTGCCATGTGTGAGCTCCATAGCCATATTCCTACATACAGGAGTTTAATTAAAACAAAACAAAACAAAATAGGATGGCTGAATAGAAAGAAAACAGAAAGAGGGGGACAGATTATATTTGGATGGAGAAAGGTAAAGATAAATACCCAAAACAAAAAAGCAGCAGCAAAACACTTCTTAAATGCAGAGAAGAAAACAAAATTAATTTTCAAAACAAAAAAGAGCAACTTAATTATTATCTCATTAAATTACATATATGACGTAATATAAAAAACACATACATACATATATAGTCTCTCTCTCTCTCCCTCTCTCTCTCTCTCTATATATATATATAAAATCTTAAAATAAACTATATACCAAAAGCTTTCAGCTTCTTGTGCAATTTTTTTTCTTGTTCTTTGAATATTGAAATGTTTTTGTTGATTCACGTTTCCTTGTGCTACTGTGGTTCTGCTTTGTTCATAAAGAACATGCCTCCCTTGATGTGCTGTACCATGCTGGGCTGTGCTGTGCCAGCATCTTCTGTGTCTCACAATTTATACTCACGTTCTTGAGTATAGAGGCCTTTACAGTGTCCTTGTACTGCTTCTTTTGACCTCTCTGTGTGAGTGCTGGCCTTGTGCAAGTTCTCTACATAATAGTCTTTTGGGTAAATGTATGTTTACCTCACAAGTGACTGTATCAAAGGCCTTAGTCAGATCTACAAGCATTGTATTACAGACTTGTGTTCTGTTCCTGGCATTTGTCCTGGAGTTACTGGGCAGCAAATACCATTTCAACCATTCCTCAGCCCTTTCTGAAGCCAACACTGGCTCTTGGGTAGATGACTATCTTTCAGATGAAGGATCAGCTGATTAAGGAGGACTCTGGCAAGAATCCTGCCAGCAATGACTAAGAGAGATTCCCCCCTAAGTGATTGTCATAGAACTTGTTTCCTTTTCCTTTATAGATATGGACAATGGAGGCATCCTTAATCTCCTGAGGGATAACGTCCTTTTGCCATATAACCCAGAAAATTTCAGTCAGCTTTAGTATGAGCAGTGGAGCCTCTGCCTTGTAGATCTCTGCTGGGACGGAATTAGCACTAGGTGCTTTGCCATATGAGAGGAGCCTAATGACATTTAAAATCTTTTTTTCATTGGAAATTTGGCTAGATGGGGATTGAATTCAACCTGAGGTATACAGTCAATGACTTCAGCACTGGATGATGGTCTGTTGAGAACACCGTGGAAGTGTTCAGCCCATCTCTCCAGGATCAAGTCCTTATCTCTGATCACTGTGGCTCCATCAGCATTGAGTAGTTTAAATGCACCATAGATCTATGGCCCATGAAGAATCTTCAGGGCATCATGGAAGTGCTTTGGATTGTTGCTACTGGTATAAAACTGAAGCTCATCCACCTTCTTACTGAGCCAAGAATCTTGAATCTCTCTAAACTTCACTTGTACTTTACTTTGGATGGAGTTAAATGCTGCCTTCTTAGAGGCCAACAAACTGTCCTGCTGGTAAACCCTGTGGAGTTCTTGTTTTTCATTTAGCACTCTTCATGACCTTTTTGGGGTTTTCTTGGCAAAGATACTGTAATGGTTTGCCGTTTCCTTCTCCAGTTCATTCTACAGATGATGAAACTGAGATAAAAAGGGTTAAATGACTTGGCCAGGGTCATATGGCTAGTAAGTGTCTAAGGCCATATTTGAACTCATCTTCCTGACTCCATGTCTGGTGCTCTATGCACTGCACTACTTTGCTGCACATGTATAGCCTATACCAAATTGCTTGCCTTTTCAAGGAGGAGGGAGGGGAGAAAGAGAGATAGAGAATATGGAACTCAAAATTTTAAAAAACAAATGTTAAACATTGTTTTTATGTGTAATTGAGAAAAAAATAAAATATATTTCAAAAAATAAAAGAAAAAGATGAGGACAAGATTAACAACCACCACAAAGTAAGATCACTAGAAAAAAATATAGATTCATTACCTAGGCTAGTCATGTCCTTAATGTACTAAGTTTTTTACTTAATAGATCTTTAAAACTCTTCTTATCTTTAAAGTCCTACAAATTTATCTATGATTTAGGTATGACTTCTGTTTAAAAAAAATCCATTGTATTATCTAGTTATGTAACACCCACTTTAACAGTTGTATAGAGTTACACTTATAATCACCTACATTTTACATGGTAGTTAATTTGACAAGTAAATGTCAATATAATACGAAGCATGACTATACAGTTACAAGATTGATTTTATTTAACCAAATATGCCAGAATTTTATAGCCAAATGAGTGTTGCCTCTTTCAAAATAGTCACGCTGGAAGATTGTACAATTGTGTTCCTATGATGCTGTCATTACTCACAGCAGCACTGAAACTTTTTTGGGGGAATTTCTGTTAGTATCTATAATTTTTGGGCATCCTTATTGGAGTTACTCTTAATTTTTTGAGTATTGATATGATTTTTGGAACTAGCTAACTGCCGTCGCACAACATGGCTATTACTGTGTACAACATTCTCCTAGTTCTGCTCACTTCACTCAGCATCAGTCCATACAAGTCTTTTCAGGTTTTTCTGAAGTCAGCCTGCTCATCATTTCTTATACCACAATAGTATTCCATTACGTTAATATATTACAACTTGTTCAGCCATTCCCCAATTGATGGGCATCCCCTCAATTTTCAATTCTTTGCCACCACAGAAAGAGCTGCTGTAATTATTTTTGTATATATGGGTCCTTTTCCCATTTTTATTATCTCTTTGGGATACAGACCTGTAAGTGGTATTGCTGGGTCAAGGGGTATGCACATTTTTATAGCCCTTTGGGCATCTGCTCATAATTTTTTATAGCACAATAGTATTACATTACAATCAACTACCCCAACTATTCCTGAATTGGTGGGCATCCCCTCAATGTCCAATCCTTTGCCAGTACAAAAAGAGCTGCTATAAATATTTTTGTACAAATAGGTCCTTTTCCCTTTTATAAAATCTCTTTGGGATACAGACTTAGTGGTGGTATTACTGAACTAAAGGGTATGCACAGTTTGGTAGACCTTTGGACATAGTTCCAAATTGCTTTCCAGAACGATTGGATCAGTTCACAACTCAGGAAAGAAACTTTTACTGGAATCAAGAGCATTTCCACAACATGACTCTTTATAGCAGGGAACTTCCACACAACTCATGTGTTTCACAGTAATAATAATAATGAAATGGAATGAGTATTTATTAAGCACCTACTATGTACCAGGCACTGTGCTATTATTCATTTTACAAATGTATCTCATTTGATCTTCACAACAACTCTGTGAGATAAATGCTATTATTACCTCCATATTTTTTTTTTTTAATAACTGAGGAAACTGAGATAGACATGGGTTGAGTGACATGGTCATGGACACACAGCTAATAAGTGTCTAAGGTAGATTTGAAGTCAGGTGGGGTATTGGTATTCCTGATTTATTTAGATGTCCTTGCCTTCTTGTGGCATCAGAACATAGAGGAATACAATTTGTACCTTATGTTATTCATCATGGCAGTTATTAGCATGAGCAACCTTCAACTCCATGCTACCCCATTTATTTCTTAGATTCATAGAAATAGAGCATGTTGACTGAGATTCTAATCCAGCCAGTAGTAACACTAGAGGCCACATGGTATTTCAGGGTTCCCATCAGTTAACAATCACTTTAGCAGTCTAAAGACACATAACAACAACAAAAGCAGCAGAAGCAGCAGCAACAACAAAAACGACAAGTGCTTTAAGGTTTGCAAAGCACTTTATATGTGCTAACTCATTTGACAGAGGTACCCATTGTACAACCTCTTGACTGAATTCCCCAACTTGGCTGTCATTGATCCCTTATAACATGCATGATGAGTTTGGCTCTGAGGGGATTATCAAAATAATAATAAAAACAATTATTATTATTTAATTATTTAAGATCTATTTAATGTGCATTTAAAACAGAACACATTGTGATTCATTTTCCACTCAAAGGTATAGGTGGATCCCTCTACACACAGAAGACCATGACATTTGTGTTCTTTTGTATAGCCAGGTCCTGGTTAGTGCAAATCATGAAATCTAGTGGAGAAGCTATATTATTTAAATTCTCACTGAATATTTCCAGTGGGTTAGAACCAATTACTTTGTTTTACATAATTATACTTTTGAATAGTACGAATCTGAATATATACAACAACTTCACAGGATTCAATATTTGCACTAATGAGGACCTGGCTGCTTATTAAAAAAAAAAACAAAACACTCTTCTAGGTATAGAGGGGAGAAAACCTATATCCTATCTCTGGAGTGTCAAATGTAGTACCTTCCCTGGTTTTGTGAACATGACTTCAAAAGTATTTGCAAAGCTCTATGAGGCATGGTCACTTTACTCACACTGGCTCATCCAAGATTACACCTCTTTATGGAGTCAGATGGGTGAATGACTAATATCCCCTCTGGTTTTCATCCCCTTCCTTCATACTCTAGTAAAACCAAACTACTTGAGGCCAGAAACTAGTTGTTTTGTCTGTCTCCCAAGTGCCTCCCACAGTGCCAGGAAGATAATAAACTTTAATAAATGATGATGGGAACTAAATCCACATTGGCCATTTGGTATTCATTTGGGAAAGGGATAGGAGAGAAGAATTAACCTTATTACTCTAGCTTTCATTGTGCTTCTAGAAAGTTCTAACTACTCCTTACATAGATCACTATTGTAACGGAAACACTTTCAATAGACAACAATACATAAAGAAGATGGTATTGTGGTAGCACAGCTTGGTTCTTACTTTGAATTATGTGAAATGCAGATAATACCTCCAAACAGACCATAACTTCCTTTCTACAGAGTTTCTTTTAAAACTGCTACTTTGAACATCTCCTTCAGAACTAATGACACAATCAGAACAGGTGCACAGTACCCTAGGATTTAGAGTTGACAAAGATCATCCAGTCTAGAGACCATCCAGGGCGAGAGAAACTAAATGATTAGCCCAAGGTCACACACAAGTATTAAGTGGCAGCATCTAGCTTTGACCCCAGGTCTTCTAACGTGAAGTTTGGTGCTTTTTTCAATGCTATATGCTGCATTAAAACCAATAATATGGTCATGGCTAAAGCCCTGTCAGCCAAAAAAGTACTTTCACATTCGAAGGTTGAATTCAAAAAATGAAAATGTTGGCTTTTCAAATTCAAGAGTCTTTGTACCCACTCTATTTTAAGGAGATAGGCTATTTCTTATCAAGGGAACAATGATCACATTTTCATCTCCTAAAATAATTTGGCTTGAATTATGTTTATAGAAAGATGAATTCAATTTTCAAATTGTTCTGTTTGCTTTGTGGCAGGTTTCTGGGTGTGCAGTGACTAAATCACACCTAACTACTACACAGTTGTTGTTTTTTTCCCTCTTCTCCCTTTTCTACATTCAGGATCTTTGTGTGTAGTAAAGCCATTTACTTCTGTAAACTAGTAAGTGCGTAGGTGCTCAGTGTGAAAATGTTTCACTATAAATAAGAGGCTTAGGTGTTACCTTGGCAGCAGCTTTTTTCATCAGTTCTAAAGCAAGCCTTCTATTCTTCTGAACTCCTTGACCCTAAACAATAACAAACAACAACAATAAAAATGATGAAGAAAATAGACACAATCAGTGCTCTGTAGCACAAGGCAAATAGGCATGGCAGCTTTGGACAGCACGTGCATTAAAAAATGTTAACTCACACTTGCTAAATTTAAAGCCAATTCCAAAAGAATTCTAGCTACAGTGTTGTTATTCTGTTATTATTATCTGACCTTGCTGACATGAAATTCCCATTCATCACTAATATAAATTCTATTCCAACCGAACCTGAACTGATGCTATCAGAAGTAGTGGCTAAGATACAATTAGGTTAACAGTCTTAGATGTGTTCCTTCTAAGATTATTTAACTGGTAAATTAGATAAAATGACTTCAGTGGGGTAGAGAGATGAGGGGGGAGTGATCATAAAAGGTTAAAACCATTCTCTGTCTTGGTTCATTAGGGCCTAATCCAGTGTGGTGAAAACACCAAAGAATTAGTACTAGTATAACAAGGAGAGGTACAATACTCAGAATTCTTCTGAATCAGAGGATGACTCAAAGATCTTAACTCAAAGACTTAAGAAAGAAAAGATTTTTGCTGCCACAAGAATGAAGCAAATGCTTCACTGTTAGAATCATTACATTTCTCCAGCAGAAAAGAGTAGAAAGCAATTAGAAATGAGTTGTTTATGGGAAAGGGGAGAGATTGAGAGTGCAGAGGAGAGGGTAATTAGATTTGAGGATGCAAGTTACAGGGGAAAGGCACAAGTTGACTGTATAAAATACCAACTCACGGGTTAGCCAATGGTCCTCCACTTGTGGATGGGAATAGATAGAAGGGCATTTATGCAGAGACATTGTCAGACCCTGGAGATCCTGGGTTAGGGTAGCCTGGTGAATGAATTGTTCTATCTAACTTTCAGTAGTGTTTATTATTTGTCCATATCATGGTATCTACTGCATGATCTTTCGGGGCACAACAAATTGCTTCCAATTACTTCAAATATCAAATAGAATTGTCATGAGAGCTGAGTTTTTGACTGGCTAAAATAAAGCTCTGAAACAATCAACCTTTGCTCGACAGATATACTTAATAAACACAAGAATGGCTAGGAGGGTGGAAAAAAATGACCTCACCTCCTTAGTTTTACCCTTCGGTCTGGCTGAAATTCATATGCGTGCCAAGCCACAGAGGATCCTGAGAATATCTAACTCTTAAGTTAAATAGTTACCTGAAACAGAAGGCTTTGATCTCCTCCCAGGCAGGTGTAGGATGGAAAAGAAAGGACTCACTCTTAGTCCAAGAACTACGCACATGAGCTAGGTGTAGCAGATTTTATGAGCTAAGGACAGATAAGCCCAAGCTCAGCAAAAATTACATGCCCAGAGCCACTAAGAGACCAGCAGAGCAGTATGTACAGTGCAATGATATTGTTAGAAAATATCGGTGGACCTAAAGTGTCAGGTATGTGTTACTCCTCCACATAACTCATTTTCCATTTGTGTGCCCCTTATTTATGTTCCTTGTGTATACTCACTCTTCTTACTGACAGATGTATTTGTGGGATTGAGGCCTAGGTTAATGGAAGGAACATTCTATTTCCAATGTTCTTGCTATGCTATTTTATTAAATGCTTTTGCTTTGAATTGACTGTGTCCTCTAGATGACTAGAGGAAAAAATGAACACATGAAATGGGGCTCATGAGTTGTAGTTTTGAGTAAATGTAATCCCCCAGAATACCTTGAACCTGGGTAACCGTTCTGTTATTCTGGGTGTGAGAAGGGAGTTTTCCAGATGCTAAAAAACTGGGACCATATTGTGAAGATGCTTTGCAAGGTAGAATGTGGGAAACACATATAAGGTATGTATATTAACATGCTGTTTCATATTAAAAGACAATATGCAGAATATTGAGTAATATGGGGAAATTTTGAAATGTTTACTTTCTTTATAGGAGAACATGTGGGACTTGAAATAATGAACTGTGAACCAAAAGCCACAATGAATATGACTAAGAATCTCAACTAGTCACTTTCCATCAAACTGCAAACTCAAAGATTTTTTTTAACAAGAACAAAACACTACATGAATCAATTCAATCCAGAGTTGCGTCTCCTTATTTTCTAGTGCTATTGATCCAGAACCAAACTGTAACAACAAATATCCTCTGAACATCCCTTCATTGGGTTCAAGTCACCTGCTAGATAGAGAAATAGAAAGATGAATATAGAGAGACAGACTAAAGGTGGAAAGCAGAAGTTTACAAGCAGGGAGGACAGAAATAAATTCCTTAAGGATGACTGAGACAATGCTTGGTAGAATGTGGCATAGTGTTGATTTGCTGGGAGTGACCAACTGAGTAGTCTGGTATGCAATTAGAGATGAAGCTTTCTTATCAAGGCTCAAGACTGATTGTGAATCTGAAAACATTATAACAAATAAGCCATGACTGTGTACGTTGTCACTGTAGATGCAAGTGCTACGAGGACAAGATCATCTGCAGAGGGCTCAAACAAGCAATGTACATCAACATCACTGATGTCCTCTTTGTATTGGAAAAGGGACTATGGAGACACAATACACACATATATCTTGTTCTGTAAGGTAGTGGAAATAGCTGGCTCTGGAGACAGGATGACGGGTTCACATTCCACTTCCAACATATATTGACTTTGTGACCCCAGGCAAATTACTTCACTTTTCAGTGCCCTGGGCACTTAGAGTCTCTAAAACTGTAAGATGCATTGAAGATGATGACCTGCATTGATAAAGAGAGTTTCCCATCTAGAAGTTCCCTACTCATGAAATCACAGGTCCAAGCCCTATCCCTATCCCAACTGATCTCCCCATGAGAAGAAGTAGCTTAGTGCAGAGCTTCTCTCTACCAGACAGATGCTTAAATTGTGTGTAATTTGGTTGAAAGCTAAAGGCTTAACTGGGCTGTTTTCCCTGGGTCAAGCTAAGATTCATTACAAAGACAAAAAGATGATTAAACTTGGACCCATGAGAAAATGTTAAGGGAGTTGGGATGATTAAGACTGGAAAAAGAAGACAGGAAATCTAAATCAATTCATCTCTGTGAGTGATAAGCATGGATATTTTCAGCCATAGGCTGGGGAGGGGAGATAAAACCAGTGTTTTGATGAGTAGCAATAGCCATGGAGCCTTGATGCCTGGCTCTGTGGAAGAACACAGTGATGCAGGTATGCTGCCCTTTGGTTCTTGATTTTTATGAATACTCAAGTAGGGAAAGGCTGTAAGATTTGGTGGAAAGAACATCAGTTGTATATTCAGAGGACCTGGATTCCCCAAATCCAGGGCAAGTCATCTAACTTTTCTGAGCCTCAATTTCCTCGTCTGAAAAATGAGCAGATTGAGCTAGATGATCTCAAAGGTTCCTTCCAACTTGAAATGTAATATTAGTGGCATGTTAGCATGAAATAGCCATGATGAGACTAACTCTCACTAAAGGTTTTCTCTTCTAATTCCCCACTGCTTGAGTCAGTAACGGTTAATTAAAAGGCTTCAGACTTAGGATAAGGATCTTAACATCAGCAAATCAGACACAGGTGTGATTTCTGGCCCAACATGGGCACTGTATAGATTGTGTGTGTGTGTGTGTGTATGTGTGTGTGTGTGTGTGAGATATGAATAAATGGCTGTCCAATAAGACCAGTTGTAGGGCACCAAACTGAAAAACAGGGACATCTCTTAGAGAATGCAGCATTATCTGGAGAAGTATCAAGAGTTAAAGAGCCAAACAGAAACAGTTATTAAAAAAAAATTGGGGGAGCGAGAAGGGGATGTGAGCAATTCTCACTCCACCTTTTATCAGCTATCTCTTTCTCCCTAGAGTGAGTGACGGGAAGCAAATTCTAAGTTATTTAATTACTTACTCCCTGTTTGCACATATGCCTCCAGGAAACTATTCTGCAATTCTGATGGGAGCTGCAAAATTTAGGCACAAATTAAGTTATTCTTACCTTGAATAATACAATGGCATAATCATATATTAATGCTGGGTCTTCAGTCTCCAAAGCACCCTTTGCATACCACTCTATTGCAGCTTCAGGATTTTTAGCCACGCCTTGTTGTCCCCAGAACAGCATCTGTGCCAACCGTTGCTTAAACAACAAATAATAATAATTATGATAATGATTTTTCAAAATGACTTTCACAAGCCATGGTTAACTTCAGGCTTTTTCTAAAATAGAAAACACATTCAGCCCAATGTGTTTTATTATCCACGGCCAGCAAGGTGATTGACATGCTATGTTTTCCAACTGATAACCATAACCTTTAATCACTGTGTAATTAGAAATGCCCTAATAGAAGCAAGGGAGTGAGTATATCTTTGTGTGAGAATGTGGAGGGAGAGAAAGATAAGCAGAAATGGAGGTATCACAGAATCACAGGATTTCAGAGTTGGAAGGGAGGTCAGTAGCCATCCAGTTCAATTCCGCAATCAGGTCTTTGCCTGAAAACCTTCAAGAAGGGAGAATCCATCCTTCCCTTTGGACAGTCTTAATGGTTACGGAGTTTTTCCTAATGCCAAACCTAATTTTGTCTCTCTGGAGTCAAACAGAACACATCTAATCTAATACTCCACATGACAGACCTTAAAATTCTTGAAGACCAATATCATGATCTTCCTGAGTCTTCACTTAGCCAGGCTGAATGCCCACAGTTCCTTCAAATAATCCTCAGCCAGAATAGACTTGAGACCATTCACCGTCCTGCTTATCTTCCTCTGGATGCTCTCCAGTTTATCAATGACCTTCCTAAAATGTGGGAACCACAATACTGGAATACGAAATTTCAGAGATGGTCTGACCAGAACAAAGGACAACATGCCAATATCCACTCACATTCTGTGACTTTCTTAGCAATATATGATCATATGAAGCATAAGACATGATTCTGAGGAGTTGGCTTATTCAAGAATCGATTAAAGCCTTCTGAGACTGAAAGTTAAGTTACTGAATGCTCAGGAGCAGTTGTCGGAAGTAACCTCTTCTTCCTGAAAGCTTGACTTCTCTCAATCCACCCCAAGATCATATTAACCATTTCTCACAGCCATGTCACAGTGCCAGCTAATGCAGATGGAGCTTGCAGTCCACTAAAACCCCCAGATCTTTTTCAGAGAAGCTGCTAAATAGCCAAACTCACTCATCTTACACTTGCAAAGTTTTTTTTCTTTTTGAACTCATGTAAAATTTTACACTTACCCCTCCTAAATTTCATCTTACCATATTCAGTCCAGTGTGTCAAATGCCCCTCTAAGATTGGTGTCACCTGCAAACTTGGTGAGGCTGCCATGTAATTACCATTATCCAAATCCCTAACGAAAATAGGCAGCACCAAGTCAAATACAGATTCCCCAGGATACTCTACTAGAGGCCTCCTTTGTCAATAACATTCATTTAATACTACTCTTCTCTTCCTAGTCTACTCTCTTATCAAATGGTCCTGTGAAAATGAAACTGTTCAGTACTCAAAACCTTTCTCCTCATGACACAACGGGAACTTCTTTTCTATTATTTTAAGTCAATAAAACCACTGTGTTCCCCAAGGGATGTGTCTGACAGAATTTCCAAAATTCTAGACCTCGCTTGTTTGACAAAGGAGATGGATAGATGGATAGATATAGATATCTACCTATAGATAGCTATATAGATACATATGTGTACATTTGGTGTTTGTTGTCCTCCATTCCTGAAGAGGACCAAAATGACATCACATGCTAGAGTCAAATTTCAGTGCGTCCAACTGTGGTTGATCAGACCAATACCAGCTCGGAATGGTCTACCACAGTTGAAGCACAAATAGTCCATGTGAACATTTGGGGTGGATTCTCTAAATTTGCGCATCTTGTGTTTCTTTTGAGCTATTTCAGTTCTGCTTTGCTCGTAAAGAATAGCACCTTTTCTGATGTGGGCACGCTACGCTGGGTGGTCCTGTGCCAGTGTCTCCCATGTCACACAATCAATTCCAAAGTTCTTAAGAGACCTTGAGAAGTGTCCTTGTATTGCTTCTTCTGACCACCATATGAACGTTTACCCTATGTGAATTCTCCATAAAAATAGCCTTTTTGACCACTGTACGTTTTTCATTTGAACAACGTGGCCAGCCCATTGGAGTTGCACTCTTTGAAGCAGAGTTTGAATGCTTTGCAGTTTAGTTTGAGAAAGGACCTCAGTGTCTGGTATCTTATCCTGCCAGGTGATCTTCGGAATCTTCCTAAGACAATTCAAATGGAAGCAATTCAATTTCCTGGCATGGCATTGGTAAACTGTCCAGGTTTCACAGGCATACAACAAGGAGGTCAGTACAATGGCTCTGTAGTCAGTCTAATACCTCTTCTCTCCCATATTTTCCTTTGGAGCATCCCAAACACTGAGCTAACTCTGGCGATGTGTGTGTCAACCTCATTATCAATGTGTACAACCCTGGAAAGTACACTACCAAGGTAAGTGACCTATTCACAGCATTCAAAATTTCTCTATTTGCTGTAACCGATGGTTCCATGTATGGATGGTGTGGTGGTGGTTGATGGAGCACCAGTGTTTTCTTGATGTGAACTGTTAGGCCAAAATTAGCACAAGCAGCAGAGAATCAATCCATACTTTTGTTGCATCTCAGCTGCAGAGGCTGCATTGCGTGCACAATCATCTGCAGACAGAAAATCATGCACCAATACTCTCTCCACTTTGATCTTGGCTTGTAGCTTTTTCAGTTTGAAGAATTTACCATCAGTGCAAAGCTGACTTTGATGCCACATTCATCCTTATTGAAAGCATTGAACAACATGGCTGAAAACATCATGCTAAAAAGCATGGGAGCAAGCACACAGCCTTGTTTCACTCCATTGGTGTATGTATATATGTGTAAAACTATACATACATGGAGACAGATACACACACACAGAAAGAAGAGAGAGAGAGAGAGAGAGAGAGAGAGAGAGAGAGAGAGAGAGAGAGAGAGAGAGAGAGAGAGAACTAAAATGAAATCCTTAAATGGACTTCTTTCCCAAGCCATGAAAAACAGAGGAAGATTCCCCCTGGCATAAGAACCCAGGTATCTTAGGAACTACTGTCAACACTTTGCCAATCTTCACTTTACATATCTCTAACTTTCCCATGTCTTCTCCCTTTTCTTATCCTGTAACTATAATAATGATGATGATAATAATGCTCGTTTGCATTTATATGGCACTTTATGGTTTACAAGATGCTTTACAAATAAATAGGACTGGTGAGCTCAGGGACCCTACAGGAAAGTTTCCTTAGGGTTCTGAAATTTAATTTTTCCATTTCTTGCTTAATGTTTCCATTTCCTTCTTCTTCTTGCTTTCTTACTTTCCCTTTCCTCATACTGTGAGGCAGCTAACAGTACCCAAGAGCACTCATGGGCAATGAATGTCTAGCTTATCAGTGTCTGAACTGAATATAAGTTGCTTTTTTCTCGTACCATCAGTTCTAGCCAATATTCTACACAGGGGTGTTTTTACTAAAGTGAAATTTAGTCTATGTACTTGGAGAAACAGTCTTCCAAGTTTCTCAAACTTTTAAGTTCATTCTTTTTACCTCCCAAAATCTTTCCAAAGTACATAAAAGTGCTCTAGGAAGCAGATAAGATCCTTTCTTAAGTCCCCCCATGTCATATTTTCCTACATGTTTCTCCATTTGTTATCCCGACTCTGCCAAAGTGGTAACCTGTGGACTTTGGGCAAATCACTTAATATATCTACATCAGTTTCTTCATATGGAAAATGAAGGGATTGGATTAGACCATCTCAAAGGGCCCTTCTCTCATTATGTTTATGATCCCATGCTTCTCTACTGCTATCTTCTCGCAGGGAGATCCCCTAGTCCACCTCTCTGGTCCTTCCTGCACTCTAAATTCCTCACTTTTCCCACATCACATACAACCCATGGCACATTTCATACCACCCATGGCACATTTCATACAACCCATGGCACATTTCATACCACCCATGGCACATTTCATACAACCCGTGGCACATTTCATACAACCCATGGCACATTTCATACAACCCGTGGCACATTTCATACAACCCATGGCACATTTCATACAACCCATGGCACATTACATACAACCCATGGCACATTTCATACAACCCATGGCACATTTCATACAACCCATGGCACATTACATACAACACATGGCACATTTCATACAACCCGTGGCACATTTCATACAACCCATGGCACATTTCATACAACCCGTGGCACATTTCATACAACCCGTGGCA